GACTGCCGGCGCGTAGAAGAGCAGCTGGCCAGCATCGTGCGCATCAAGCTTGGCCTGCGCATGCATGGCGTAAGAGACGATGCGCCACTCATATGCCGACTCGTACCAGCCTCGGGCTGCGCGCAACCGGTGGTCCCACTGGGTATGCTGAGCGGCTTCGCTGATGCTGGCAGCAGGCTGACCAGCACCGCTGGAGCTAATGATCTCGGTTTTGAGGATCGCTTGCCAGCTCTCGTCAAAGATCTTTTTGCCGCCTGGAGTCCTCATGGCGTGAGGGGCCTCGACCTGCAGCGGGTCTGTGAAGCGCTGCATCTGCACGAAGTCGACGACGAACTCGAAGTCGGCGAGCAACTTCCGAGCCTGTTGGTGCTCGTAGGACTGGCCCGTGTGAGGCGCCAGCAGGGAGGCGCTGGCGGTGACTGGCGGTGACTGGTAGAAGTCCTCGCAGAGGATATTCGCTGGCATGTGCCCCCACGTCTCCTGCGGGAACATGTACTTGGTAGAATCGAGGTTGTAGCGCGGCGCCCTGCCGTAGGTCGTGCGCAGTGCATCCGCATGCAGCAAGGGCCCCGGCACATCACCCAGCTCATCGATCACGTCGACGCCGAGTGTGCCTGTGAGGCGGTCGAGCTTTTTCTGCGTCTGCGAGACCACCACCCTGGAGAGGGTGCGTGTCTTGCCGACGCCGCCTCCTCCGAGCCAGATTGCTCTGTGGTTGCCCGTCGCGGACACCGCGGGGGGCAGATGCGTTGTCTTGTCTGGCCTGCCATCAAAACGTTTCTGCAGGGGCAGCGCGAACGACGCCACCGCGTCAATCTGCTCCTCCGTGCGCTCTGCATCAGTGACCAGCTTCCACGCAACGGCCGCCGGGCCCTGCATGGCCAAGAGCTGCGGCACGAGCTCCGGCTGCGCGTCCTCAGCAGCAGGCTGAGGAGCACCGCTGGGTTGCCAGTCGCCCCCAACATCGGGCAAGGTCTCTCCATCCGGACTCGCTTGCTTCTTCTGCCAGCATGTCAAAGAAGCTGTCGTCCAGCCGCGTGCCCAGATGCCCCCGCGCGCCGCTGCTGGCTGGCTGCGCAAAGCTCGCCTGCAGCATGCCGCCGTACGCTCGGTCCAGGTTCTTCAGCTGCTTATCCGCGTAGCTGAGGCGGCTCTTCTGGCTCGAGCGCTGCAGTTGGTCTTGCTGCAGAGCCAGCTCGGTTGCTTTGGTGTGGTCCCGCAGCGGAAACATGGAGATCTCGGTAATTTCGGCGTCCTCAACTTCCTCCTCTACGTCGCTGCCACCGCCTCCGCCCGCGTCAACGAGCTCCAGCGGGGCCCGGCCCTTGGGCCTTTCGGCATCGCTCGCGGAGTCCTCCTCCGCCTCCAGGTGCGCAGCCGCTGCCGGCCGAGGCTTAACCCGCGCCTCCGCCGCGAGGTCCACGTGCGCCAGCACGTCTCGCGCCACGTACGCGTAGAACTCCGCCAAGGTGCACTGCTCCTCGTGCCATCGGCAGTGGTGGTTACTGAAGGCGAGGATGCGCCGGGCCGCCTCCACAGGCATGCGCCGCGCCAGCTGGGCTCTTGCGAAGTTCGCTAGGCTGAGGAGCACCAGCTCGCCCTCCTCGAGGTTCGCCCGGGGTTCTTTCAGCTCGGAGAAGAGGGTCGTGTCCGCGAGCACGAGCCTCTTGCGGGCCAGGCGGCACCTGGAGTCCGCGCGCGCCGCCAGCACGTGGATCTCCGCGCGCCGAAGTCGCCGCGCCCGCTCGAACGAGTGTGGGCGCGCGGCAGGGCAGTCGCAATTCTTCAACATATGGCTGCACTGGGTAACGCTGCCACAAGTGAGGGGACCCTCGCACGCCCAAGGCGTGAATGGGGATGGCCTTGAAGAGCGAGTTCTGCTCTGGGTCCTGTGCCCAGGTCGGGCGCTGGAAGCCGTCGATGCTGGGGGCGTCCATCCGCGTCAATTGGACCTCCTGCACGTACCGCGGAGCCATGACGTAATGGTTCTTGAAGACGAAGAATCTCGGCCCAGAAGCTTTCACCCGGCTCGGCTTCAGGACTCGGCGGACGTACATCCTGTAGATGTAGCGCGGCATGGTCTGCAGGCGAGGGCCCCTGTGGGCGTAGTCGTCGGCCGTGTTCGTGCTGGTGGTGCATGCCTGTATATCCTCGCACTCCGCACCGTCAGCCTGCTCATCACCAGCAGGACCAGCAGGGGTCTCTCCAGGAGGCTGAGGAGCACCGCTGGTCCCGTCTGCGGAAAGCTCTTCCTCGTCCTCGGCGACTGGGATCTGGATGCGGACTGCCTGTATTGGCACCTGTTCATTCTGCTGCATCTCGCCCGCGCCTTCGTGGTTCAGCAAGCGCTTGCACTGCTGGCAGGCCCACTGCAGCTGTCTCGTGAAGAGTCGCACATTGTGGTGCGACTGGAGGCAGTCGCCGCCTGTGAGGATGTGCAGCGCCACCTCCGTCGTGGAGAGCCAGAAGCGCCGGTTCGCCATCGAGGCCAGCCGGGTGCAGACTCGCCGAGCGCGGCGAGCGAGGTCTTCGGTCGTCCGGCGCCGCTTGGCCAGCGTCTGGTCCTCGCCATCAGCGCCGCCCTCACTGAGCACCTTGCGGGCCTCCTCCTCCTGCTCCTCCTTCTCCTGCTGTTCCACTTGCGTCAGCCTCAGCCTCAGCCTCAGCCTGCGTCAGTCTCAGCCTGCTGCGCTCCCGCATACCCCTTCGGCCTCAGCCTGCCTCAGCCTCAGCCTGCATCAGCCTCAGCCTCAGCCTCAGCCTGCCTCAGCCTCAGCCTGCTTCGCTCCCGCATACTCCTGCGGCCTCAGCCTGCATCAGCCTCAGCCTGCATCAGCCTCAGCCTCAGCCTCAGCCTCAGCCTGCCTCAGCCTCAGCCGCACCTCCGATGGCGCCGAGGTGGCTCCCGTGCGTACCTGCACCCACGGAACTCACCTCCGATGGCGCCGAGGTGGCTCCCGTGCGTACCTGCGCGCACGGAGCGCTTCTCCGATGGCGCCGAGGTGGTTCCCGTGCGTACCTGCACGCACGGAGCGCACCTCCGAGATGGCGCCGAGGTGGCTCCCGTGCGTACCTGCACGCACGGAGCGCTTCTCCGATGGCGTCGAGGTGGTCCTGTGCGTGCCTGCACGCACGGAACTCACTTCCGATGGCGCCGAGGTGGCTCCCGTGCGTACCTGCACGCACGGAATGAGCTCCGCCGGATTCTCCAGGTTTCTGCCGGTTTCCGCCCGGACCCCCTTGGAGTGTCATGATGCTCTCTTTTGACCCTACTAGAAACCTATCAGCACAAGCTGTTAGGTAATTTGGGTAACTCTGAGTGTGAGTCTTAGTGCGGGCGAGTCTGAGTGTGAATGATCAAAGTGTTGGTAATGCCTCATACACCACCCTTCGGGTGATACTTTTTGTTGTTCGTATCTGGGGGTGGGGGGTATCATCTTTGTTCTGCTGTGGACGGGTAGTTCCGGGTTTTCGCATACCGGTCATCGGTATGCCCATTTTTCCATCTGTCAATCTATTCAATATGTATGTATGTGTATATATATATGTATGTATACATGTCTACCTCTCTTTCGGTTTATCGATGCGTGTGTATGTACATCCATATATCTACCTATCTCACTGTCTCTCCATTTGCCTCACTATACACATTTTCTCTGTTGCAGCATACTTGTATGTCAATATATCCCCTGCGTATCACGCACGGTCTATCGTTCTCGCAGCTTTCTAGCTATTATCGGAACAACCATCGTGACAATCGTCGGGACAACCTTCGGGACAACCATCGGGACAATCATCGTGACAATCATCGGGACAACCTGTGGGACAACCTGTGGGACAACCATCGAGACAACCATCGGGACAACCGTCTGGACAACCATCGGGACAACTATTAGGACAACTATCGGGACTTCATCGGGACAACCATCGGGACAGCACTCGTGACAACCATCGGGACAACCATCGGGATAACCATCGGGACAACCATCGGAACAATCATCGGGACAACCTTCGGGACAATCCTCGGGACAACCATCGGGACAACCATCGGGACAACCATAGGGACAACCTTCGGATCAACCATCGGGACAATCCGCACACACCGGCCGGGCCAGGGCAACTCATTTTTGCTTGTTTTATGATGTGCGAAAGCAGGAACTCGCGCAGCTTCGGCTCGCCTCGCCCTGCCGCACGCCAGGCACGGCAGGAACTGAAACCGAAATCGATTTCTGGGTTGTGCGATTCGATCTCGCCCCCTCGGATGTGTGTGTTTTTGTTTGTGTGTGTGTGTGTGCGTGAGTCGGAGCATAACTAACCTGAGTATGAGTTGAGTGTATCTGGCTGCGAGTGGTATGATAATGGGTGAGTCCAAGTATGAGTGGGTCAGAGTACCAGTGGATCCGAGTGTGTTTGGTATGATCGTGGGTAGTCTGAGTATACCTCAGTCTGAATGTGAGTGGGTCTGATTGTCAGTAAGTCTGGGTATGAGCGAGTCTGTCAGCGGGTCTGAATGATTATGAGTGAGGCCGAGTGTGAGTGGGTCTGGGTGTCAGTGAGTCAGAACGTGGGAAGGGAGAAATCGGTAGTGAGGAGGCCGAGGCGTCGCACTCATGACGAGAGCCCCATCTTTAGGATGTGGGGGAAATTTAGAGGCACGCTGAAGCGCAGCGGGTGGCCCGACGAAGGCACTGCACGTGTCACACATTTTCGTTTTGGATCCACCTACGTGCGCATTTGCCTGCATGCCTCACGAGGTGGGTGCGCTTCCCGCTCTCGTCCAGTCAGGCTGGACTCCTCATGAAACTGCGCGCGATCTGATTTGTGATGCACGAGTTCGAGCTGTATCCAGGTACTCTTCTGAGTTAAGGGGTGCATCTGCGCGCGTCAAAGGTGTCCCCATGGCCACAGTGCATGCAGCCGGCCTGAATAGAGCGTGTGAATCGGCTGCGGGCTCATCACTTCTCCCTCGTCTCGGAGCGGCGCTCCTGTCGAGCCCTCAG